CCCCCCCCCCCCCCCCCCCCCCCCCCCCCCCGCTCGTCACTATGCTGCCATAATAATACTGAACTACCCCAATGGATCCTGGAATAACTTGCGTCATTGTTATTTCAGGGGCAATAGGAACTTGCCCCCCCAATATATTTTAAAAGTCGGCGCCTATGGTTTGGAGGCTATCAAAAGTGACCTGTCCGCATTTTTTGCTTCAAAGTCAAAGGAATTTTATTACATGGAATTGAAATGCTTGTAGAAAGGTGGCAGAGAGTCATAGAGAACGAAGGGGAATATATACTTGATTGAAACTTGATGCGATGCAGGTGTATTTAAATTTTGAAAAACAGAAAAAAACGACATTACTTATGAGATGACCATATATATATATATATTTTTTTTTAGATATAAATATATCGGGATAAAGATGTAGAAAATGCTGTTGGCATTATAGGGCATCTCTTTTTTTTATTCTCCACGAGTAATTTCTCACTACGACAGCTCTATTCTGGATTTATAATATGGACTCTCAGTGCATGGAGCTTCCCCCTGCCGAATCAGAGAGGGTATTGGTTATTGGTCCACATACATAAAGGCAACCTGAAAGCGAGTTTCTCTTCAAATCATAGAGTGAAGGTAGCATTCAAGGTTAACTTTCATGTTGGCTTTGGGTCTGTGCCAAGATTTCTTCATGCTATAATATGATATGAACGATATGAAACACTCACGGAATACACAACGAGCAATTCATTCAAAACTACGCTGCATGGTGTATTCCAACCATGATGCACCAAGACACAGCCCCTCGGATACAAATTTGAAAATCAGATATGAAGGATCGACGTGAGAGATTTCACGTGTCGCCCGTCTCAGAAACTCCCAACCGACCCGACACGGTCCACATCGTCTCGTTACTGCACGGTAGTGCAACGAAAGAGAGCAGAAAACGGCCAATAGAGCCACAATGAACTTATCACCTTTTTCACGCAATATCATTGGAAACCTTGGAACACCACGAGATACCACCAGGAAGCATTCACTTGACGGGGAATTTCTTGACCCACTTGAGCTCGTGGGTGAGCCAGACGGCAGACGAGATGGTGAGAAGCGAGCCCAGCTGATGCAGCGATGCGCACCACGTCGGCACGAACAAGATCAGCGTGTGGATCCCCAGTATCACCTAAACGATGGAGGCAATGGCTAAAACTCTCTTCCGCGATGACACACGACCACGAATTATGAATCCGGTCGATGCCGAAGGCATTACCTGGGACCAGCCGACGGCCAGCAGAGTCGTCGCTGCCGCGCGAGCCTTTCCGGGAAGCTGGAGCCGTCGCGACGCGAACCAAAGCCCCGTGACCGAAGCCAGCGACAACGTGCCCTGGTCGAGACAACCGTTCCGAGCGTTTCAATCGTCGAACCGCGAAACCCGACAACAGCTGCATCTAATAGGAAGGCTTCGAACCAGGATTCGATGGTCGAACTGCACCGTCGTGGCGTTCTCCGTGAAGTTCTTCGCGGTCGGGCTCATGGCGAGCAGGTCGCTCGGGATCCAGCGATCCGCCATCTTCGGAAAGGAGTTGTACACCAGCCCGGCGTCCAGCCCCGCCACGAATGCCCCTGCGATCCATCGAGGAGCTCATTATATAAATAACAATACTCGAGTACCCTATCTTCGTGACAAAACCACACGTCAGACAGAAATTTCAAATCCACAAGTCTGAGCCCGAACCAGAGAAGGCAATCGTCGAGAACTCTTCACACGGTAATTGGTTTCCGTATGTAAATACGGTATCTGCTACGAGTCGGACTCCATTAACGCCAACACGGCCGACATCACGACCGCCAGCGGACACCGAACCCACCCCAGCCGGCAACGAAAGAGCCTAGAGCGGAAACCGACCCGAGACGGCCGTGAGGAACACCAGCCCCTTGACGGCATGCGACGCCGCCCGGAACCTCACGAGCGACCTGCTGATGGACGCCACCCCTTGCGCCGGCGCCACGTGGTCCAACCCGGCCCAGAAGAACAGGGTGTAGAGGACGAAGGCGAGGGACAGGTGCGCCGCCAGCCGATACTGCGACACCCGCGGGACGTCGGATTGCCCCTGGAACCGCTCTTCTTCCAGCCCGCTCTTCACCATGTACCAACCCATCAGCCCCTGCTCGACATTCATCTTTCGTCAAGTTTCGCTCCCAGACGCGACTCGAACCGTTTCCGAGAACCGAACCTGGGCGAGAATGAGGCTCCCGTACGCGACGACCCTTTTCTTCATGGAAGAGGTGAAGTACTTCTTTTTCCAGAACCACACGGCAGGAAGCAGGAAGGCCAGCCCGATGCCCCGTCCCCACATTCGGTGGATGTACTCCATCCACCAGATGAACTTGAACTCTTCCAAGCTCATGTCCTGGTTTTTCCTGTCGGGAAGACCAAAGAAAATGCGACGGACGCTTCAAATCTCCATGCTATCGTTGGGCGAGCAGAAAACGAATCGGATCACCGACACCGAACTTCAGCAATCGTACCCCACCAATTACACGTTACGCACCTCTTACTTTCATCTGCCACTCCCATAGGTACTACGGGGAAATGCCAGATATTGCACTTTTTTTCATTCCGTCTGTCCGCAGTATCCAAAGCAACCGGACGACACGACTCAGGGGTCGTCGGGGTGTCCGTCTTCCACTAAAACATCCACTTCCCTTCCAGCCCTCGCGGTCGACGGATCCATAGTAGACAATAGGGGCATAAAGTAGAGAGTATAACTAGAGGCTCCACTCCGCTCGGATCCCATTCATCGACAGGGTCGGAACATAGATGTCGCTGTCCATGATTTATTTCACCTAACGTGCACACATCAGAAACTCCTCCATGGCCAAGCAGCCGACTCAACGAGACACGCGTGTTGCGTCGAGGGATCGTATTCCTTTGGGTCGAATCCCCGAACGAGTCGATTCCCGATTCCGCTGCCACGAAGCACGCCTCATGTAAGTGTTGTCGATAACGAGCCACCATATGTCTTTGTAATATTTCGACCCTCCCCTACCCCTCGGAGTGTTGTCCCTTGTCATACTATGATGGGGGAGAGCGGGTGCTCCCGGCCGCGTCGACAGGGTTGCTAGGCGTACGAGTGAAATGCCGCATCTGGCATCCTACATTTCATACCGTTCTCCCATCTCCACGCGACGCGGACTCGCAAACCATCGAGAATACGTCTAATCGTCCGGGCCTTTTCATATAGGCCTATAACGAACCAATAACAGCTATTAATCATATCGAGGTTGGATTGCTTGGATGTGGCGAAACAGATGATTCTAGCTGTGTAGGGGGCCAGTGGAATGGCAGATCTGTACCCGAGCTGGTACTCCCTAGTATTTATTTGTAACAGTACGAACGTCTACGAATGAACTAGTGCTGTTGACATGGAAATCTCTCACAACCAGGACTCGGATGCGGGACCGTGGAACTCACATTTGGAATTCTGGGAATTGCTTATACTTATCGAACTCCTCCACCCACTGCCGTTGAGACATGGGCGGCCTCTCCTTCCAGAGGTGCCAGTCCACCATGGACAGCCCAGACTCGGTCAGCCTCGTCAGTCCACCTGCAAAAAAAAACACCGTTTCATCCGAGTCCGGATCCCGTTTCACTTGCGAGACGGCAAGGACTTGGGAATTACCCAAGACGACGGCCCCGAGGACGAGCCCGCTGCAGCCGAAGAGCCAAAGCCCGACCGCCTCCCTGGCCTTCGGGGCCAGCTCGGGGGCCATCTTGGACACCGCCACCGTCACGTGCCGCCGGACCGACGGCAGATTCTTTCCCAGGACCTGCCAATAAACCGACGAGACCGTTCAGCGGTACGAGAATCACGGCACGGAAACAGAAACTCGACTCGGAGACTCACGTGGAGGAAAGGCCTTTGCAGTCGAGCACAGTTACAGAAACTCCTGGAGAATGCCCGCGGCTGCAGGATGGGCCTCACGAGCATGAAGCCGGGCACGAAGCCGCGATGAAACATCATCCCGGGAAGATTCATCTTTTTCCCTGCAATCGTCCATTACTTACAGAGATCGAACCGACAGACCCGAAAGTTCTACACCGCGAGTCGTATTTCCTTTGAAAGGGATGACATCCCTTGAAGGCATGACATGCCAGGAATGGAACGTTCCTTCCTTGGGATGCAAGTTACATTTCGTGCAGAAAATCACTCGGCTCGTGCACGTACACGAGCGGCATATCCTCGACTGAAATGACACTAACACCTTTCGTGACCTTCCCCACTCCCAAGCACGCACGCACGCACATCCGCATTCGCTCCGTAAGAAACAACGGATGGATGATCTTATAATTATAAGGGGGGGGTACAAAATTACTTGCTGCCGCTTTGGGTTTTTCTTGTCCTCTTGTACCTTTATGCTCTGGCATGTTACTGCTACTTTAATACCTCGCGATTCTTCATTCTAGTACGAGAAACAATGAATGACATGAAAGTCATGGACGAATTCATGATGCATTTCTTCAGAGAAAATCTGTCATTCGCTTCCGGGCGGGATCGTGCCGGTATCAGATCTTAGTCGCAAAGTGAACATCGTCCTGGCTGACGTTGAGCTGCAACTTCTGCAGCCAGTCGACCCGGTCTCCCTGAACGAGCACGAGGCGTTGAAGCCTGAGCCGATCGGCGATCTCCATCGCCTGACCGACGCTCGGCGTCTCCAGGCGATCCAGCCTGCACAGCACGAGCGCCTGCCGATAGACGACCGAGAATTCCACTTCTTCGCGTCCGAGGTGGGCGGCCTCGGAGGCCAGGGCGACGAGGAAGGCCTTCTCGACGGGGGAACAGGACCTGATGGCGAGGACGGACGGCTGAGCGCTCATCTCGTCCAGCGCCGTCGTCACCTGCTTGAGTCCGACCGTCGGGGAGCGAGAGCGCTCTGCCACTTCCACGGCACGGCGGCAGAGGTCCAGCGCTCGACGGGCGTCGCCCGACACTGCCGCCACCTTCCGGGCCACCAGTTGGACCGCGTCGCCGTCGAACACGCCCAGGGACTGCACTCGCCCGAGGACGATCTCCTGGAGCTGTCGGTGGGTGTAAGGGGTGAAGGTGAGGCGGGTCATGCCGAGGCGAGACGCGATGCGGTTCACCAGCATCCGCTCGGGGAGGTCCATCGTGTTCGCGATCCCGAGCACGACCAGCCGGGAACCGGGTCGACAGGGCCACTCGAACAGATTGTAGAGAACGTCCTGCTTCCTGGTGCAGAGGAGATCCAACTCGTCGGCCAGGACCACGGCCGACTTCTTCGCCGACTTCCTCGAGAAATGCTTCTCGAGCAGCGACGCCGCGTGATCCGCGGTGACCTTCGAGTCGTCCACCAGACCGCGATACAACTCCACGTACGCCTGATGAGGCGTGAGGAGCCTCATCCCGTTCACGTCCACGAAGTCGAACGGAGGAAGGTCGGCTCGGCGAAGAGCGGCGATCGCGCGCTGAACGGTCGCCGTCTTACCCGTCCCGGGGACGCCCGATACGTACATGCACCCGCCGGTGCCGTTCGACAGGTGGCTCTCCACGAACTGGTATATCTGAGCGAATTCCTCTTCTCGGCACGGGAGCGACTCGGGCACGGCCGAGACGTGCAACACCTCCTGGGCCTTGTGGTAACCGAGCTCCGTCTTCTTCTTCAGCTTGGCCGGGGACGCTTCGTGCTTCTCGACCGCGTCTTCCACGAGATCTGCCATGCGGACGATCGCGGGCTGCTTCGCCGGCTTCGTCTTTCGGGGACTGAGGGGAATCTCCACGGAAGACGAGATCGGTTCCAGCCTCCGTCCGCGACCCGACAACTGGAACCTCGCGACGTACACCGCATCGCACGAATCCACGTACTGCATGACGACCTGCTCGGGATCCATCGCCGCGTCCGCGTAGACGACGGAACACTTCCCGACGATGGTGTCGGCATCGACATCCTTCTCGAACGTGCGAAGATCCCGCACCACCTCCAAGGCGGAATGCAGGGCCGGAACGTGCGACGGAAACGCGTTGAGGATCCTCTTCGGCAGCTCCCCGACCCTCGTGTACCAGGTGAGCTCGGCCCGGCGACCGCAATCGCTGTTCTCGTCCTTCGTGTCATAGAGAGACTCCACCTTGCCGATCATGTCCTCGTCCACGCCCCTGACGAGGACGTGGTCCCCCACCGACACGATCAGATCCCCCCGAGTGAAGCCGAGGTACTCGGTCGGTTCGTCCTCGCTTCCCACCGTTTCCCCCATCCAGATCAAGGGTTCTACTTCCATGGTTCGCTTTCTAACGAAGTACTCTGGTGTATCGCAAAACGGTCTCGCAACTAAAAGGGATAGACCGATTTGAAATTCGGGAAAAGAGAAAAATTCTCACGGTGCATAAAATAAATCATCATCGGTTCTTCTACGATATTCATGCCAATAAGGTTGTTGAGGGATGACACATCACCTCAGCGATCACTTCTGACGCCAACCAAAGCAACTTAAGTTTTACGGTAAAAAAGAGAAAGAAATCAGGATCGACAGTACAACAAAGATGTTATGAAAATCAGAGCAGCAAAGAGGTCAAACAGTGAGAGATACAAAAAAGGCAGACTCCAAACATAACACAAATATTAGCAAATGCAATGGACTAAGTAGAGAATAAAAAATGGGTCGAAGTGTAAACAAGAGGGTGAGTGGAGAAGAATGGGTTCAACATGCCCCAGGTGACAGGCATGGAAACTTTTCTTAATAGGAAGAATGCTCGTCGTAATGATAAAGAACTATCCTTTCTCATAATCTTCCTTCGCGATAAGTAAAAGGAAGTTTTTAAAGCTAGAATGTCTTTCTGACAATCTCCATGGTAGGTCTTCAGTCATACATGCCAGAGAAGCCAAGAATGCATCAGATCAAAAGAAAAGCCAAAGAGAAAGCTACGAGGGACTCGAGCTACTGCAGCAGATATGCCTATTATGGTAGATGTGACCTGTCTGTTCCTATCCTCACGAATGTGTGGAATGAGGCTTTACACCAATAGGGATGAAACAAAGATGGATAGGAGCAGCCATTGGAGCCCTGTATTCTCATCTCACATACAACAGCAGCCAGTGCACGGGATCATGAGAAATTCATACTCGGAGAGAACAGTAAAGCCAATACATGTGCAAGTATGCGAACGATAAATAATCACAGACAAACCGACGGGAAAGCGAAGACGCTCAGGCCTGGATGATGTCGACGTCGGCGGCATCCTCGAGTCCGGCCTTGCAGAGCCGCTGTCGGCTCTTGGCCATGCTGAGCCTCATGTTCTCCCGCTGATGATACGTCCACAGCTTGAGGATGGATGCCACGGACAGCCCCACGCAACAGGCCCACGCCATCCATGCCCCAAACTGTAACATCCAAGACTCGACTGAAACCAATGAATCGTATCTCCAAGAAGCGGTGCGATCGTGCGAGGATCCGGCCCACCTGGGCGGTGCCGACTTGCATGAAGAAGCCGGAAGTGTCGACATCCGTGATGATGGGATTTAGGGTGGCGTACTGACAAGCCTGGAAACGGAGAATCATGTAGGAGCACCACGTTTGGAACCCCATCGTGATGGTCAGGGCCACGGAAAACATCAGCGCGCTCAACAGGACGTTCAGCACCACGTCCAGAAATGCAGACAGGAATGAACTGCATTCAAGCAGATCAACGGTCAACAGTGTCAAAAGCGCACCCACAGATAGAATAAGGATTCAAGGCACCGACCTGTCTTGACCAAAGTGAAGGAATTTCGCAAAGCGGAACACCTGGACGCATGAGAAACCGAACAGGAGAATCCCGACAAAAATGCTCCACACGCAATAGAATTGGGATGCCCAAGATGCAAGGAACTTTCCATCTTCCTCATTCCAGTGACCAGTGGAGAAAAGAATGCAATGCCCTCTGCATGAATGAAAAGTAGATATACATACATCAGATCTGAGAGCAGATACATTTGATTCAAGAGTACTAGAACCATGATTTTAAGCATCATCTTGCTCTTTAAGGTGTATGAACATCTTAAATCCATGCAGCATATTTGCTCAACACTAATGACAAAATTTGTCACAAAAACACAAAGGATTACATGATATAATCCTCTTTTTCTGGGAATGAAGCAATGAAAAGCCAGCTGTCTAATCAGAAGCTGTTGGTACTGACCTAGCAGTCCCTATGAAGTGTTAAATTGTACAAACTTGATAAAATTTCAACCAAAAAAGCAAGGCCAAAATGGAAGAAAATTTGAAGGATGGAAATTTGGAACTCCATCTGATTTGTTCCAGAGTTAAAACAAGAGTTCCTCACATCCAGGAGGTATATATACAGTTCTTGAGGTAAAAAAAAAAACAGTAAAAGAGAAGTGGGGGCAGGATGGACTGCCAAGCCTTGCCATGTATGGCATACTGAATCAAAGGAGACAAATGGACCTTAGATTTTTCCACAGCTAGAGCATACAATTTTGAGCTAATAACAGTAGCTCTGGAGAGCTCCCAGTTTTTAATTTGGAATTGGATACTAATATTCACTGGTATTTATCATGCTATGAATCGAACAATTTGGGTAATCATTGGTTCATGACTGGCACTATTGATCAAAGATTTAATATGGTTTGATGGACTGGCAACTGACCCAAAATTCAGATTCAGATCACAGTCACAATAAAGCCCACACAGTCACAGATCCATTGAATTATCAGAGTTTGATATTCTCAATAGGCTGATGGAAATACATGCATTAGACTTACCTAAATTGTTTTTCATGGATGAGAAGTGGCACATAGACACAAATGGAGAGGGTACAGGTAATAACATACACTGTCAACTGTGACAAAAGCACCAGGTTACCAGTTAATTCCATCTCATTCCAACCAATCTCAGATCTTGTCAGTTATCTGTACTGAAGTTTTCCTTCTCTTGCAGTGACACAATAGTCATCTCATAACTGCAGTGAAACAAAGGGAACATGCATCCAATTTCCAAAGGATTGTCTTTCAATGCAAATTACTAAGTGCTTTCAATGTTTTCAGGTGCAAGCGATGAAATGAATTGGCCATATTGGCAATTCAATTAGAAATCAACAGCTCCAAGGAAAATAATTTCCTTGAGGGTGTTTGAGAACTTCCCTTTCAAGCAGTAAAATATTTAGAAAAAGTGAAATGCATGCATGACATGAGGCACTTTCTTCCCAAAGAGCCAGGAAATCCAGATCAAAATGAAAAATCTTGCAATTGCCCAAATCACACAAGCCTGCCAAGGAAGCTAGCTCTGGGGCAGACACCCAAAAGCTCTGGCCATTGGACGAGAATATCATCGGCAAAGTATTCTAGGATCTTTCCCGAGAGCGAGAGGGTTTGAACTCTGCAGACACTTTCTACAAAGACGATCATGCACCTCTTGATCCTCAACACTCGCAGAAGCCACACAACAAAGCAGATGGGGATGCACGTCCCTGGTCCATTCACGAGAACCAGGTCAGGTCGATGCCTCCACACTAATGGAATGCTCCAAAAAATGGCAACAAGGGTAGTGAATATGGATGTGAGGTATGACTGGGCAACCTCTCTCGAACGAGGGAGGATCTCCATCGACCACTGTCCACTGTGTCCACGTTCAGCTTCCAGGACCTTCTCCTTGCTGTGTGCATCAGTCCTTGCAACAACATAGACTCTGGGAGAGTATTTCTTCCTGTCTAATTCAGACATTAAGGTCAGCATCTCTTTTGTGTGACCACCTGATCCCAGCACTATGAGGGTCTTGTAGCCCATTTTTCACATTTATTCCCTTGTGAAACCTTTAAATCAAGATTTCAATCACTTGCCTCAAAGTTTAATAAACTGGAGAAAACAGATGAATATACAGGGTATGAAAAAAAAGTAATACTTTTAGTCTAAATATCTCCACTCACACAGGAGCTATTTTTACAAAACTTTCACTGCATACATGAGTATGTTTCCAATTGATTTTCAAACTTCCATTCAAATTTATTGGTTCAAAGCAACACTATTAGCAATCATTAAAAAGAAGTTTGATATTGAGAATGGCCAAGAGCTCCTGCTGGTATTTGAGTGGAGGAAATACTATTGTACTGTCCTTCATGGCCACTGATGAGTGCCAGTTGAATCCATGAGCAGAGATCCAGAGTTTTTTCTCAAAGTTCATTCAGAATTTCCCTTGGTTTACAGAGGAGTAGAGAAGAACTAAAAGGCATGGCAAGAAAGATCAATCACTTTGAATTTAAAATATCAAATGATTTTGGGAAAACTTACCTTGTAGGAGAGAAAAGACTTTCTATATTATAAATAAATTTGGCAAAATATGTCAAAAAGGAGTCTTTAGATACAGACACTGATTGGTCAACATACATTGGTCTTCTTTGCCATGGTTTTAGTCCTCATGTCAAGTTCTCTCTAAACCAATGGAAATTCTGAATGAACTTTGAGAAAACTCACTGGATTGATATTCACTGCATCATCTGCTATTCATTGTGAATGAGCTCATTAAAACCATCCACAGATGACCAGCCCAAATAATGAATTTAAATGGAAGATGAGTTTGCTACAGTTTTTGTGACCATGAGGCCTTGTGTGTTTCTTCTACTACATTACTAGCAGAATCTCTTGCTCATTCTCTATTCCTAATTTCTTTTGAATAATTGATGATAGTATTGCTTTGGTCTAACAAATTCCGACAAAATTTTTAGAATTCATTGGAAACTTAATCATATATGCACAACGAAAGTAAAAAAACAAAAAACAAAAACCAGTCCAGTGTGAGGAGATATTTTGGTAAGAAATTGTTGATCTTATTTTCCCACACCCTGCACAAGGACACAGGGGAGATGAAGCAGTTATCTGAATGCTCAATATTTCCATTTCTTCTCAATAACAAATATTTCCTAACATGAAAGGGAAGCTCTCAACACGATTGAGTCAGTGTATGTCCATGGCTTTTGACCTGGTGAAAATGCAAATAGAATGTAGCTGCTGTGAGTTGTACTTCATATCATTCCACTCCATCCCAATCAGCATGGGAGGATGGGCATTTGGTCCCACTTCAAGAAACCCTGAAACTTCAATAGCAAGTGTAGCAAAAGCCCCATTGCACAAAGTCAATTGAAGGAAAAATAAATGAAACACAGGAAAGTGAAATGATCAATACTGTATCTTTCATTTCTCTCTCTCTCCTTCTGTAGGCTGCAGTCTCATCTCATTGAATGAGTCACTACCCCCACTTTTTACATACCATCTTCTATTTCTGATTCTCACATATTGATCCAAAAAAAGGGGGGAAATCAACAAAAAGCAGCTTCAAAAAACATCCATAGTAAAAAAAAATTGCATCATATGACAGAAAGCCAAGAAGAGAAAGAAATCTGAGTACAGGGAATTGAAAAAGAAAAAGCAGTCGAGATCCAGGCAGAAATGGTCAGACATCAGACAACAGACAGGACATACTGTAATTATTACAGATACTTGGCAAACCACTGACTGTAGGTCTAGGAGCAATGAGCACATTCCACGTTTGTCCTCATGAAGTACGTCAGGAGGACAATATCACATTCCATTGACTTCTTCTCCATTGCCTCATTGTCTCTCTCTCTCTTTCTCTCCCACTTCACTTCCTGCATCACTGCCTCAAGAGTTTTCATTCAAGTAGTTTGCACATTCTTGCAAACAAATCTAATCTTGAAGACAATGAAAAATTCCCCATTTGAGAATCACAGCAACTTCAAGAATACATGCTACAAAAGCTAGAGAGCTACAGTACATGACAGAATCTACGTCATCACATGGTTGCAGAAATCAATACCTTGTAAGTTCAGTTCGGTTCTGAATATTCTACCCAAATACAAAGAAAGCAAAGAATGGAGCTGCAGTACGTTTAGGTTGGAAAAAAAATAAAAAAGAGTGGACAGAAAGAATATATAGACAAGATCCAAAGCACAGGGTAATCATGATGACTAGCCCCTGGTTTGAATGAGGATTATAGAATTTAGTCTCAAGGAATGATGGAACATAATGGCCATATTGTGTAAACCCCATGGTAACTTTAAGAGTCAGGACTGACAAGCAGGGCACACATCACAGCTGGGATGGCAGAGGAGGAGGACATGACAAGGATGGGAGAGAATGAGGGAGTGAGGCACCTCACCATACCAAACAAGATGTGAAAAAAACAAACATCTGCTGGTCATCAAGGCTGATGATGAACAGAGATTATGATCGGTACGTCTTGGGAGGGAGTTCAGGTCCTCTTGGTGGCACTGGTGGAGGGTAGATGAAGTGAGAGACTCCATCTATGGGGCCATATGACAAGGGGCCATGCCGTGGAGTGCTTGACCCTACGATGAAAATGTCGTAATACAATGTTGTTTGTCTCCCTGTCCTTTCACTTCTATTGCAATCAAAGGTATTCTGCAAGGGTGAGTCAAAAAGTTTCTGAACTTTTCTTTCCAAGCCTTACCTTATAGGTCACAACAAATCAGCTCCCATCTCTTTAAGGGTAGTCTCCTGATATATCAATCCACCTTTGCCTGTATCACTATGACAGCTGGAAGCACAGTTATAGTTCTTCCTTTGCAAAACTATTGGAGTTGTGCTGTTGTGTCTAACTAAACATTTTCGAAGTTGGTGAGTGATGTTTCTTTGGTTTATTTATAAGAATGAAGTAAGAATACATGGTTACATGGTGCTAGATGGAAAAAGAAAAGTGAATATGGCACCAGGGTAATGGAACATTTAGCAAGAAACTCGTGAACTAGGATTGATGCATGCTCCAGGGAAGTGTCATGTCAATACCCACCCTTTCATCAGTTCCCCAATGTTATGACACTGATAGTGAATGTATTCTGTTGCTCACAATTGTGACACTGTCTACACCTACTATGGAATATGCTGGTCAACACATCATTCATCCATACATGGGGATCTACAGGTATCCTAACAGGTAATATGGGCTTTGTCAGATACTCTACCTAAAAAATAGCAAAAACTGGGAAATAAAAAAAAGGAAGGTTGCCTAAATCAAATGAAAGTTGGGAAATTTCTTGACTCATCCTTGTATTGGAATTTTCATCCCATTGTAGTGAGCAATTAACTTTTTATTTCTTGTATGGGTACTGCCACCCAGTTATTCTCAGTTATTTCATTTTTGCAGTTTCTGTTTTTGCTTATGCTGGCTAACAAGGAAATGGATTCTACACAACTGCTTGGTTAACAAAATCAAGATATATAAAATTCTGTGTTCCGTTTGGTGAATAATTTTTATACAGCACTGAAACTGGAACAAAAACTATTTGCCTGAAAATAGATTGGAGAAGTCCCAAAGTTGCTGCATAAACCCTTTCTGATTTATATGTAAACAAAAAGGTCATTTCTTCAAAATTTGGTTCCCTTCCCATATGAAAAGAATTTCTAGTGCTTTCAGTCAAAGGCAACGATTCAACAGACTTGCCCAATGAAAGGGGAAGAGACAATGAAACTGTAAAATGAAATTTCACTCTCTCTAGTTGAAAAAAAACCAAAGGATGCCTAAATCCTTGGATACAAAATCCCAGCCATAAAGTGACATTGAAGAAGTGAAAAAATAAACAAATTTAAAATTTAAAGTAAAAATATGGTAAAAGAACAGACCAGTGGGTGTGCCAGGAGACATTCCATTGAAGAGAGGAGGGGTTGAGGCTGAAGTGCGTCTTGGCGGCAATGGAACTTGTGAATGGGTGTCCAGTGGTGGAGGGGTGGTTAGTCTATTCACACCTCTTGGAGGCAATGGAGGGGCTTCATTCCCTCTCCTTCGAGGGGGCAAGGGTGGTGGAGTATCATCGTCTCTGTCTCCGCGTGGCGACTGCACTGAAGATCCTGTCGACATCCCTCCCGGCGAAGATGGGCCACCAAATTCTGTCCCAGTATGAAGACAAAAACATTGATTCTCATTCAGCAACCCATCCTGCACAATCATGTATTTTACCCATGATATAAGGAGTATTGGGGAAAATATTAACTTCAGATGGTGCAATGGCTAAAGGTAATTCCTTGCTGCTATATGAATGCCCATTTCAAGATAAAAACAAGAATATTGAGCGAGTAACATCATCAATAAATCTTGAATAATTGTCTAACAGAATTGATTCTAATTTTGTCCAATTACTAACATACTATGGTAACATGCAGCTAAAAATTACAATAGTCACAGATGTCATCACATCTGCAAGATGTTTAATTCTGATACTTACAGCTGAATACTTATTAATATTTCATCACCCAATTTCATTCGCATTTTCTATTAAAAGAAGCTTGATAAAACCAATGATTGTGCACTTAGTTCCAAGAGCTAGAACACATGCATTAAAAGCATATAAAAGTATATAAATGTTCTAACCGGGATGGCCAATGAGCACCGGAGCAAAGATGCTAGTGTCGAGAGGAGGGGTGAGAGGCGTCGAGGGGGTGGGGGGCGTGATCACAGAAGGTGACGTTGTCATCGTTCCCATGTCAGTCATATCACTCATTGTGCCATGCGAGGAGATGCTGTCATCTCCTGCCAAGCTATGTAGTCTTGAGATGGATGTTGTTGAAAAGAGGCTCAAACGATCACTGATGCTTGAGGTCAATGATAGTGGATATGGGGCTGCTGTCTTCCCTGGGAGATGGCGAGGCTTGATTCCAGGGCTCTTCAGTGGTAGTGTGGGCCATTTTCGTGGCTGCATGCACAAGAGAGCATAATAGTTTACTTCTGGAACCACAATGCATCTTATGAGGAAATGAATATAGGTGAAAAACACATACATATCTTGGGGGTCGATCCACATTACGAGGCTCAATCTCCAAGGACTTGGAATATAGGTAGTCTTGAATCTCCTTGTCTTCTAATCCCTCAAATGGTCTCAAATTTTCAAGGAAATACTACAAAGTGACAAAGGCCATGTAACATTTATAACAACTAATAACCTCATAATTATTATTTGTAATTTGAGTACCTGACTTGAGAAATGAGACAACATACACAGATTCTCAATTTGTTCAATGGTTCAATTTGAACATCATGAAAAGAAAGCAGGAATAGACAGATAAGAAAATTAAGGCTGATATCTGATATGACCTCATCTAGTTCATCTGATGCAGGTACTGGAAACTAACAACAATTTATGGCTTATAGAATATAATGCATCTTAATGAATCATTTGTGAGAATTTGAAAATTGATACTTAAAGACATACTACTTTCCATTTTTAAGAAAAATTACCTTACATGTGGAGGAAAATGATTTTCCTTTGCCTCCCCTTAGCCTGCAAATATGTTCTAACGAGTACTTTGGTAAAGGCATTTTGCAGCTGCATGTTCATGCTTAAAATGGTTCCTCCTTCAAGATGTACAATATACAGTATATGTATTTTTTATATACACAAGCATGGATACAAGAAGATCTAACATGTAACATCAGTACTCCTGACATGAAACTATCTAGCTGCAATATTACCATGGTCTGTGAAACTCACCCTGATCTTTGGTTCTGGAGATAGGCAATAAGGCTGATTCTGATACTGCTGAATCTCTCCTGTGATCTCAGCCACTCGTCTCCTCTTGTTGAAGTTGATGAGTTCTGGTTCACCCTGAGGAGTGGCTAGCTTATCAGGGTTCCCATCTTCAATGTGGACGATATTGGTCAGATACAGGCCAAAGAAAGGGACACAAGGGGGATTGATGGAGCGCAGGCGGTCTTGGTACTTCTTGAAATGGTCCTTACTCAGTTCTCTTGCATCTTCCAGTGCTTTTAAGTATTTCACAGGCACATTCTGCCCACATACATAAATACAATGAAGATATCTACCTTCTGTCAGGTGGCACTTTAAAGGGATGGAAAGAGATCATACCTGACGGGTAAACTGCAAACGATGAATGGCAGCTGAGTCCATGGCTGAGCTAACTTCAATAACTCCATTGAAATTGTTGAGATCCTGGAGAACCATCATGATTTCCAAGACTCTAGTTACTACTGCCACCCTCTCTTCCAGATTTTCCATCTCCACAATACTCTTCTGCAGCCAGCGAGTGATCTGTCAAGCAAATGATGATACTGAAGTCTTTCCCATAAATTTATAGAGGTAAGGGCACTGACTCATCCCAGAGAAGATATCTTAGCTCCTGAAGAGGTAATGGTTATCATGTAAGAAGAAATTTCTATTTCTATTGAGGTGAGATAAAACTACTCCTTTCAGAACCAAACACTTCAGCCAATTGAAATCTAGTCAAAATGTCACACAGGTGGACAGGGCCTCATGGATGAAATCACAATTCCCGTCTCTGAACCAGAAAACTCTCAATATCCTAATTAAAGCTGGTATTTTTAATATTTAAAATTGTCACGTCTCTCTGAGCATAAGTAAAGTTTTGAATGTAGGCATCTGCATTGAAGAGATATCGGTATTAATTCAAATATGAACCTAAGAGTCCATATAATACACAGTCTGCATGAATTATTGTAGGAAATCAGCATTCTCAAATTTACCACACATAAATAGTAAAGAAAACCACTACACATACATTATCAGTGTGGCGAATCATGCGAAGGAGATTTGGGGAAGCAAGGTCCTTGTTCTTCTTGGTCCATACATGACCCACCAGCTCAGAGGGTTTCACAGCTCGGTACAATTCAAACTCCAGCAACGTTAGTTGCCTTGCCAGCTCAATAGGATGAAGCTGAAACAATGAAGAAGGTTTTCTTTCAAGTCTTGACCCTTTCAGACTTGGAAGAGCTACTATATTTCAGGCTGTCTTACAGTAAGGAGATTGTATTCTTCTTCATAGACACTTAGATGCCACTCGATGGGGGGTGGGGACCTGTCCAAGGTGATCTCTCGTTGATCATCCCAGCCATCCAGCTATAGAAAACAATATTACAAATAACTAATGCTCATGGTGGAGACAAATCATATTTTGTGGTGCTTTCAAAAATCACACTTCAGCAGTTTCTGGGATCTCAGCTACACCTTCTTCCCTAATCCCTAATAAAGGCTTTCTTGGGGCAATCACCAACTTCCAGACAAAAAGACATTGACTTTCCAAACTTGTTGATCAAAAGTGAAGGAATACTGCTGATTATGATTATATAATGGGACTCAGGATGAAGAATTTAATTTAATTTAACAAGTCACACTTCCAGTTTTGAGTATGATCAATAAAGTCAAATTTTGTTTTTTCATCAATAAATAGATAAGATAGATAAACTCTTAGGATATCAGTGTTTCAAGTTTCATTAACTTATTCTTAACTAAAGCAATATTAACACTTTTACTGCTATATCAATTTTGCTGTAAGTATTTTGCATGTCATGTCAATCAAAAGAGACTGACATGGTGGTGAAGTGTTAATCAGTAGCATACATTTATAGCTTCCATATTCCAATCAGTGTAGATCCTATAGGAGGAATGAAAGGGAGCAACTATGAACCCTCTCCAGTCCAGTTCAGTTAAAATTAATGGGTCTATATGAACCCATTAATTTTAATAGTAGGTAGCCATTTTAATTTCCCCACTTGGATTTTAAATAGTAACAAAGTGCTACCAACCCTAAAAGGAAAAAAATAGGAGAATTTTTTGTGTGAATTGATATAAAACAGCCAAGACGCAAGATAAACAAATCTTTTGATCATCTCAGCAAGCAGAATCTCCTTAGTAGTTTAAAAATTAGAAAAAAATTTTCTGAGGTCAGGCTGAAAGTAAAAGTGAAGTGTACCTTCTCAAAGGGATGTGTAATGTCAAAATGTATTAAACACAAGGGCAATGTGACGCTATGGAAAATGAAACATGAATTTAGCTTTACTTTGACCGAATATATATTGTTCATTTTACATCAAGTATATGGCACATAAAATGCAGTCTTCATAGCTGATGTAGGTTTCACTCCATTGTTTTCATCCGTCTCACAGATGCTATCTAGCCTCTGTCAGGTGAAACCAAAAATTATTTTTCAAGCTTTAGTTTAATAATAGGCATAGGCAGAGACATAGTCCTGGCCTGAGCTTAATATATTCTGAATGTGCACCAGTTATAACACTTCATGCTTATAACACTATCAACTGAAATTCCAGGGGCTTGAATTTGCATCCAAGCCCTCCATATCACAAAATGACAAAGCACCAAACTGATCCTGCCCAAGCTAGGAGATTACTCCTAATAAAAACCCATACAGATCCCTTTTCCTAGCCAATAGCCTCTAACATTCCAGCTCCATCTTGACTGAGAGTTCATGTTGAGCCAAATTTCAACCCATTCATGGTCTTTAAAGTTACAGTAATGTTTTGGTGTTTTTTGTGTCCACTAATAAATTAATTGATAACTTCTGACAACTGTATATGGAATTTGCATTAATGCAAATTTTTAGAGCCTTGCATCCTGATGTAGTCACAACATTTTTGGTGCAAGCCCTTACTTCTTGGATGAAATATGTGTTTAGTTTTTAAGAGCAATGAGTGAATATAACTTCAACAAAATCCACTTACCCTCCTGTAGATGATCTTGCAGATGGAGTCTTGCCATTTACGCATGGCTTTCCCCTGAATGGAAGACAGGAAGCCCTGCAACTTGGCCAAGAGCTCTGGGTCCTGCTCAAAGTCATAGAAATGGCGATCCACCCACTGACGAATCACATTTAAAACCCTGCCAAAAGCAAATGGGTCTCCATTGAGAAACTTTCCAAGGTCATACACATAAGTGCAGTGAAACACTGAGAAATATAGGCTTACCTGAACTGCACAGGCTGAAGATACTCGCGACGAAAACGCTTGGCAATTTCTCGTCGAGTAGTCACCTGGCGAGGCTCAGGGATCTGGAAACGTTCTATTAGGAGGTCCAGCAGTTGCTGAGGAGTCGTGAATGTACGGAACGTGGTCAGGAATGTGCGCACAAGGGTTGGGTCAGCATACAGATGGTAGGTCACCCGTTCCACCAGCTTGATAAGCGTAGCACCCTGAAAACATATGGATGGTATTTCCCAATATTCAAGCCATGGAAACAGGATAGAAGGGTCATCAATAACCATGGATAGCTTTTCAAGTATTTTTTCTTACCTTGATGAGGGGAACTGGGCTTCGTCTTGTTTCTTCCAGGATGAGATTATGGGGGCCATCTTCTTCAGAAAACCGATAAACAGATGGATCAGGGAGGGGCAATGGATGCTGGGCTTCCATGTCAGACAAAAGGCTGTCTAGAGTTCGATCCAGCATACTGCAAGGAGGAGATTTGAGTGTAAAAAAACAAACAAATATCTGTGCACAATTATATTACTCCTACTCCTACTCCATTCAAAATGTAGGTTTAGTCATATGCAGATGAGCCAGGAGAGGGGGAATAAGGGAAAAACATGAAGGGGTAAACAGGAATATGTCAATTACACATGAAACACAGGTTATTTGTGCTCCACTTGGAATTAGCCTATAGTGATGAACAGAAACAATCACAATTATTACATCCCTGACAATGAAACTAAATAAACACTTGGCACAAAGATGTAAGACCTGCATTATGGTGATCCTGATACTCAGCTTGCCTCATTTGCATAGGATAGCCTGTGCAACAACGAAGCATGATACATGATAGATGATTGGTCATCTTTTGCCAAGCCAATTCCAAGTAGAACACATTTTATCAAAAAAGTGAATTATTTCATCAAGCCAAAGATTTAAAAATTACTAGCGGCTTGCGGCCGCTACGCTGGCCGTCTAATAGGCGGAAATCTGAATAGTCTATTATGAGCATAACGTCTTCATGACATCATCTGTTCATCGCATTGCTTATTCGGAACTGAGCCGCTTCATTAGATTTATGCCCATACAGCTTACAGTACAGGGGGAGATTTTGTTCCTAAACACATTCAGCATGATATTCGAGCTCATTGCCACAATCGCCATTGTGAACGCTTCGGCTTAGCAGGTTTTCATGAGACTCAAGACTACTTTGCTATTTTCGTTGTCCCAGCACATTCGATACTCTTGCATCACCGATTAGCTCATGGGCTATAAGCATAAGCTTATGGCACAGACACCACTGATTCTGGAACAGGAAATTTCCAAGAACTTGTTCGACTTTAACACAGAAGGAAATTGGCGCATGTGCGGCACAATGCTAATGACTAAATCCTTAAAATGCCTCGCCGCCACATTAGCACCAGTGAGCAACACTTTCTGAGCCTCAGGGTAAAGTATGAGTTGCAGCAGGAGCATTTTTCCGTTGTGAAACAAATTCCTCCTCCCTACATCAAAATGTACAGCCTGACAGAGCTCGCTGCAGCAAACGACTGTAGTGATTGAGATGACATGGAGAGGCATAACATCCCAAATTCCGTGGTGTAATGGCAGCACACCTGATCGGCAAACAGGAGGACCGGGTTCAATTAATGGCAGCCCCCGCCCGGCTTTCGACACCTGAGTGCTGCGTTCCTTGCATCAAGTTGCTCAGCAGGCTCCACGGCTCTCTTATTCCGAAGCTCAGATTTCACTCCCTCTTGTTGTTCAGCGGTCTGAGCGGCCATACACTCCCTACTTATATCTGCTTACTGTTTATAATGCGCGACGTATGAAACAAAGAACTTACATTATTATTTTGGCTTCATCAATCATGATTATAAGTGTTGGATGGCCAAGCCATCCTAGAATAGCATAGCCTCAAGGACCTGGCGCATTGAGGGGTGGATGGCCTGGTCTATGGCATGAAGTGACATTGTTGTAGGCCTCGCGCGCTGGGGTGACAACCACCACAACTCCCGGGCTCTTCGAATTAAAGTATAATATGATGGCTTGGAAAGGCGCAGCCTTGTAGGCCTGGCCTATGACCCAGAATGGCTTTGCATCGTAGGCCCGCGCGGTGGGGGTGACAGCCACGACCACGACCACCACCACCGCAGCTTTTGACCTCTTCGAATTAAAGTATAGGATAAGTGAGTGGAGTAAATACTTGCACAACCTCAAATAAGCTGCTCAAAAAAACCATCTGGAGGATCTCTTTGCATTTTCTAACTGAAGGTACATTGATGATCTGTCAAAAGTGAAGACATGAAATATAATTTCAACAAGAGAAAGGATTATCCTCTTTTTTTTTCAATTTAATAAATTTAAATGCTTGCATATCCACTTGAGAGCTGAAATTCTAAGCTTCATGATGCTATGTAAAAGATTCCTCAGCACTCATTCTGCAGTCCAAAGGAGGTCAAATTCATGACTTACTGAAAAACATTTTTTAAATGCAAAAAGTCTTCTGTCAAATCAATAAACGATGAGTGAGGGGGAGGGGGGAAATTATTCAATGGTGTAGACAAACCTTCGAATGTTGAGCATGACAAGGGCTGCCATCCAGGCATTCTTCTCATCTGGATTCTTGGCAAAGAGGATGGTGTGTGGCTGAAATCTGGGAGCAATCTCGAATCCATTCTTCACTTCTGGAAATTTAATTTCAATGTATCTTCCTAACTTCCACAACTTTAGAACTTTAAGAAGAGAAAAAAAAGATCACCATCACAGTCTTCACGATCCCGGATTTCCACCTTCCTGATGAAGAACTTCTCTTTGATCCTCAATTCATGAGCTGGACCACCTGTTACTGACACAGATCCCCTCCTGGCATTACTCTTGCAGAGGACAACAAGGCCATCAAAGAGAAAGACATAGCGTTCTGTTGCACGCTTCCCAGGCACCACCTTTCCTAGTGACCCCTCTGCATTCAAATTGTAAGGAAAGCATCCCAAAGTCATATAATTCCAAAAAATACCATGTAAGACATGAAAACAGGGACAAGAGGACAACATACCTCCAATGAATTCATTGCAACACTGGCCAATGTCTTTGTTGTCCCAACCATCCACCATTCGTTGAAGATCCGCCATTTTCTTGTAAATTTCCTGACGGCTTGTACGGCCATAGCTGTACAGTGCTTTGTCCCTGTGAAGTAAAACAAGCCATCAGTCAATATTTGAAGGATTGGGATCATCATAACCCTCACAAATGAAGCAAGGGAATTCTCCTTGGGGGGTATATGTGTAAAACACTTTTATGATACATACAGAATTAATAAAGAATGCATTACTCATCCTTGAAACAGTACCCAAGGATACATACTGCATTTGTTTGAAGTGTTGAATAGACCATCAAAATGTAATGGTAAATAAAAGTTGATCTCAAAGACCAAAAAACACCAACAATTCTGCATCCTTTGACATTCATTTTTCCAATCCAGAGAAAATATGTTTGCATATGACATGGATTTCTGTGGAGGTACAATCCTGAGGGAATATATCATTATATATAGTTAAATTCACTTCAAGCTGTGCTCACCCTAGTGACCATGAGAGTGAAGGAGCTACACGTTCCACCTCCACCTTTAGTGGATTCAGTAAGCACATCACTTGCTCCAGACTCAGACGGTCATCTTCTACAGTTGCCAAGCGTAGACAGGCCTGAAAAAAAAATAAAAATCATGAGCAATCTACAAATATGACAACAAATTTGCATGAACATGGACAACAATCCAGCATCTTCAAAGGACATTATATATCTTAGAGAAATATGCAAAGCAGCAAGCACTCACTTTCAGATAGTCAAAATAGAGCAGAAGATGGAATACAGGTGAAAGGAGGAGTTTCGGAAGGACATAACGAACAGCTTCCCGAAACCCATGTCCACCACTCAATAGTGATGTGTTCACATCGGGCCGAGAAAGGAGTTTGTCCAGTTCTTCTCTGCACTTGGGGCTAAGAATATCTCGAATGTACTTGTCATACACATCAAACTCCTCAGCCTGCAAAAAAAATCAGGTGAATTTATGGAACCCAGACATCCAAACCTCAAAATGATGATTTGAATCCACTTCAGAACTGAATCCAAACCTCAGCCAAATCCTCGAAGCAAGCACCAATGGTCAATGGATGGGAATCCTCACTCATTTCCACTGCATCTTCTAATGATGCCAATAGGGTCTGTGTCACTTCAACTACATCATCCACGTTGCTGAAGATTCTGTCCACAGACTGAAATTCAGAGATACAAAGAGATGATGAAGATTTTAAAACTTCCCTTATTTCAATCATTGCATCAAAACCAATATTTTCCTTGCATTCATATCTAATATTCACTTCTAACCACTGATGCCAGTACCAGAGTAGGAGAGAAATACTCCAAATTCAGTATATTCCACTTAGTCTCATTTCACAACATCACACTTACCTTTTGGCAAAAAAAGTAAAGTGAAAATACAGTTCACATTTAGAAAACTTGGGCCCAGCCTCATTAATGACTGTGAATAGAAAGCTGAGAAAAATGTGCAGCAGGAAATTTCAGGAATGGATTTCTTGAGGTTATCACCTAAATTCTTTCCTCGAAATCCCAACCACTTGACTAGGATGCTGAGTTTTCTGTCAATAAATAGCCTGAAAAAATTCCTCTATTAAATACAAAGTTACTTTCATTTTTATTTCAATAGTGTCCAATTCCAATGATGCATTTTCCCCGAGTTTTCTTATCCTATCACTCTGTTGGAAGTTTGTCATTGATGCCTTCTCTTTTCTAGAAAGGTCCAATTTAAGATAATTACTAAGTATAAATAATGCAGAAAACATAATCATCAAGATACAAGCTTCAGTTCTTGATTCATACTATCTTGATGGAAAACACCACTAAAACTTAACTAAACAGATTAAACCGAAGTAAAAGTTCTTTACACATGTGCAATGTTTTTAGATCTTCCGGTAAAATAATGACAAGCAAGATGTATTATCATGCTCAGTTCAGCTCTCCCATATTTAATTTTCATTTCATTGTTCAAATGTCAAATATCTTGCCAAAAAACTTGCATCCTAAAAGGCAAATTCACTTTGGATATTCCACTGCTATATAAAGCTTTACTCCAGCTTTCAGATACCTGCATGTTTTAGATAAGACACTAACTGGAAAATGTCCAACAGTATAGGAAGCAGTACCAATACGGGAGTGCATATCTTCAGGTCTCAAAACTGAATCAATGGATCTGACCTTTTTTCTTTCAAAAATAGGGCTCTTATTAGAATTGGAGACACATTAGAAATGATAATAAATGTGCTAGCCAAAGATGCAGAAGTGAAGCAGACCAGCTAAAATACAATTCTCACCTCAGGGAAGGGGTTGAGGGAAGTGATCTGCTCTCGAAACACCTTAGTTGCAAGATGGAGCTCTCGTAAGTACATTTTCTCACGGGCTATAAGGTCCTTCACAACTTGATCGTAAGATTTAGCTTCCTCAAGGGCTCTCTCTTCAGGAAGTGGAAGTCCACCAGAAGGGGAAGTCAAACCACCACCCTCAGGATGAAACAGGTCCATGAGGACCTTGTCGGCATACATGGCTACTTCAATATCCTCTGGGGAAATCTCAGATCTATGAATTATCTTCACATAGTTTCCCACGAGCTAGAAATGAAAATCAATATATCAGGCCCTTTCACTTCCAAAGAATTTTCTCAAGGAGGATCATAATAGTAAAAGGTTCCAAATCAGCACCTTGAGGATATCTGCTGCAAGGTACTCCAGGACAGCCACAATGTAGACGGAAACCTGGTAATCCACTTTGTATCCCAGTAATTCCTGTACAGAAAGATATAAAATGCATGGCTTTAGACATAAAAAAGCTTCCCCATTGGACCTTTTCCAAATGAATTAGGGTCATCAAAAGACTCACATGGGGACTAGCATAACCTACCAGTATTATATCTGATGCAGAAATATGGTAATGTGAGTGATTCCACCATAAAAGGAATATTCATGTTCACAGAGTCCATGGAATGATCTTTTGCATGCACGAGAGATACAACCATTACCTTTACCAATACTATGCTGAAGTCGAGTCAACTGGTGAATTTCACCTACCAGAACCGACAGCTAATTCAGCACTTCCTGTAATTCTACTCAGTCTAATGTCATGCCCACTGGTTTCATTTCTGGTACTTTTTGTCAGGAAAAATTCAGGTGAAAGCATACGTAACATAAGACAATCACGCAAGCCCTGAGAAATGGAGGGAAAATTAACGAAGGCCATAAAAAAAAGTGTAAATGCCAAGTCACCTCATTTGAGCCGTATTACAGCTTAATTACAGTCTAACCTCGTTAAGACGTATTCGGGGAGAACCGCCGATTCAGTACTTTCAAATCTCGCTGAGTCATTGCGAAAATTTTGAAAGAAAAATGAATATTTAGTCTAATCCACTCTTAGTCACATGAAGTCAAATTTAGTTCATACTGGACATGCCTGCCTTTTGCACCAAAAATTTTCAAACTCATCCAAACAGACCAAACAAAACGCAGGTAGGGAAAAACTGAGATTCCCGCGAAGACTTCAGACCAGCAGTTGCTCCCCTCGTTTGACAGGAGGTAGCGGTCTTCGCGTGCACCGAGCCATAATAATTATACCTTCCCGAAAACGTGGGGAAAAGCCGAATCAGACGGACTTGAGACAGGTAAGGAAGGCCGGTAATTGGTAGGTCGAGAGACCACTTTTCCCGAGACCCCCTTTCTTATCAGCATTCGATTTGTTCCGCATCCCTTCTAGAGCCGCAACTCTTTTCAGAGAATTACGTAACTTCGCTACTTGCATGCTCTCCCCGCCCTTCCAAGGGCGAAGCTATTCATCGTCAGGCTTTTCCATTCTTGTGATAATTGGTAATTAAAACCACGGCTCAATTTAACCCGACGTTCCCGTATTATGAACAAAACAGCACCTTGACGAATGAAAACACAAATGACATCTCCATGCATCACAAGACGGAAAACAGGAAAGTCCTGAGTTAGACAAAGAAGGGGGGGGGGGGGATCTATGGACAAAGGGCGCTTTTCCACACTTGAGATTGCTTCGCTAGTATACGGAAGAAAAGAACCAAATTGCAGGAAGATCCCTTTGAATCTTTATTGCTGGGATAGTCTAATCTTCCGTGTTTGCACACACGAAACAAAGGAACTTGGTATCCCGGACTTTTTTTCCGTCCCTAGAATTCGTCTCAAGGGCATTCTTGTGATGCCTCTTGTGACACATTCACTTGCATACGTCGCATCTCACTCAAGCATTTTCGAGAGCGGAATTCCAACCCATTCGGGCGCGATTGCCAAGTGGATGCTTGCAGCAAGAATAGGCTGCACTTGATTTTCGAAATTTTATGGGGTTTTTTTTCCCTCCTTTCTCAAATATTTAAGGACATCCTGGCCAAGGCCAAGGTTTCCTGAGAACAGAACGGACGCCATTCCTCTTTTCTCATGGTGCTCTTCTCGACGATGGAGGGTGGGGGCCTTAATACGTGTTCAAATGGGAAAGGATTTCCAGTGAACGAGCAAATGCACCCCTGAGGATTCACATTCAATTGCTAAGTCGAGCTAATGACAGACCCTTGATCTCGGAGGATTTCGGGTCTGGGCGTACAAGCAGCTGATTCCTCTCTCCGTTCTGTCACGGTCGAGAATTCTAAATCTAGCCGACTCGAGAATTCCAATTTGACCTGTATTTGGAATAGCAACGTACTGTATTTTGGCCTTTGCTGGTTAAAGAGAAGTAAATCTGCTCCTTTAAACTCAGTTCTGTCCTGTCACACCAGCTTAAAGCCTCCTCAAAGAGGTGAAGAAATTCTTTAAGACTGGCTTTCCAGTGTTGTTCCGCTCATATTCTGGGAGCACACAATGCTACAAGAGGTCAAAAGGTTGCAGAATATGAATTGTGTGAACAGACAGAATTATGGGAATGATGCCCTCCCTTTCGCACAAGCGGAAGACGTCAAGATTCATATGAGAACTGTGGCCATCCATGAATACCAAATACGGCCCTGGTATGCCTTTCTCCTTTCCTTGGTTTAGGAAGTGATTTTCCACCCAGGAGTGAAAGGTCTCCTTGTTAATCCAGCTGTTGTCTGTGACGCCAATGTCGAATTCCCCCCTGTCTTTTGAGAGGGGGGAATTCAACATTGGCTTCACAGGAGAAAACTAACTGCATTTTGGAAAATGACCCCTGGAAATATGACTAAGAGTTTGAGCATGAAGCCATCGGCAGAAACGCATCATAAGACGATCATCTGCCCTTAAGTTACTTCATTCACATTCTTCGTGCCATTTTGAAGCCAGAACCATTCCCCTCTTCCTTCCACCTGAAAAATGGAAGACTTGGCTGTTGATCTCAGATGAGAAAAACTCGTCACATCTTGCTTGGCTAGATTTTCCTTCACTTCCTGGAATCATGCGCGTAAGTCGTTCTTCATTAAGATAGCAGAGTCATTTAGCAGATTCTCAGCAATCCGGACATAGACGTGGATGCAGTGAGAAAGGAAGTCGTATCCTATCCTTTCCCACTTCCCTTTATCGAAAGTCCCTCATTAAACTTCCCATGGGAATCACGGTTCTGAAGAGCTGGAACCACTTCACGAACAGCATCCGTGATTTATTGCCTCATAACAGGATCCCTACTGCAAATTTTCATGGGAGGATTTTTTTTTCACTTCAGCTTAATTTTTTCGTTTTTTGCACTTTTTAAAATTTGACGAATACTTCTTGTTCGGGGTTCCCTTTTCGCTACATATTGTTCGAGATTTCTTCGGTCTATCGGCTGTCTTTGATTTTACCATTGGATTTCCCCATTTCTAAGCAGAAGATTACCCATAGCAATACCAAGTTTTGTTTGTTTTTTGTTCTGCGGAGTACTGGGGGGGCCGGAGACCCAATATTCAAAATATATAAATAACGACAATTTCGGCATATTACTCTATTTACAAATCATAATAAGAGTATAAAAAATATATTCTATATACTTAAGTTGTGAGTCTCGTAGGCCCGTCCTCCCTTTTGTATTGCTAGGGTTAAACAATGAAATAGTATGATAAAATCTTGAGAATACTGCAGCAGGAAGGTGCAAAGGGAATTCGGCCATATGTCATATTTGGATTGGACAATTCTGAAATGTCTACATAGCTAAGCAAGCACAGATATGCACAAGTATCATCTCTTCTTCAGCCCTAAAACTATTAGAATACTGAAAGAGCCAACAATCTACAGAACATTAAGTCCTAAAATATGTCTATAGCTAATTTTAGACATATATCAAACAATCGAACCCCCACAATACGGCACAGAATTCAGCGAGCAGCATCTTGCTTCCGCTGTCCACGCGTCATTATTTCCCTGGCTGGGATGAAAGGACGACTATTGCATTGACGTCACAGTACACATGGCGCTTTCCATTAAGCTATATAGGGTACTGATTGGGGCTTTCGCAGTTAAATGTGACGGGGAAAGTGACATGTTGGAGATAATGTTCTAACAAATGAAATTACAGTTTGGCTTTATGCCTTAATAACACCAAATAATAATACGGAAGTGTTAAAATAAACAAGATGCTAATTTTTTCATTATTTTTGAGCATCCAATCACTTGAAAAAACGCAGTGTTGAAGCGGAGTCATTTGATGGAGGTAATATATGCACGAAATTTGGCGAATGTTAAATATTTCATAGGGAAGTCATAGATCAACAACTTGTCCAAAACGCATTGGGAAGGATGGGGCACCATGGGTCACTTTTTTGTGGGCCTGCAACTTAGGCACTTTTATTCTTCTGAAGCAAAGGTAGGCCCTGCGTGTAAAGACTCACATCGCCTGCACAATCCCGTGTTTTAAATTAAAGTGTCGTGAGATAAAGTCGTATTTTAAAATGAGGCATCATGGATCAATGTCCGGGGTATGATGGATCATCTCCATAATTATCGCTAAAATGAACTTCAGTTGACCCAAAGTCATCACGCAAATAAGTATTTGCACCACAGGAGGAGAAACTCTTGAATACTGATGCCGTCATCAAAGTTATCTAGAAAAATTAGGAACCATTAAATAATATACGATATTAAATAATATTCGTTTCACGTCCAAGAATATCACGTCTGCTGATGTTGAACCCTTCAGTCTTCCGCTTCTCGTTGCGCTTTATTAGATCAGTGAAAGACTGCAAAGGAAATCCTGATCTGCATAGGCAACTATCAGGAAACATTTGGCGCACTGAGTTATGACCCATCACGCCCAAATAGAGTGACTCATCGTGCTCCAACAGGAGCCATTGAAATGAAATCAATATTACAACCAGAGTAAGATGAGATTGTAGCTCACACCCACAGGCATTGAACTACCGATCTCCCAAATTCAATTTCAGTAAAAATCAGAAACAATTAGCAAAAATCGAGACGTCACTGTCAACAAAAACGAAATTGTGTTTTCTACAGAAAAACGTCCACACAATTTGCACTTTGGATGGGACTACTCTTTCTGCAACTACACTTCCCTGGCATCTCAGATGGATGATATGTAGCAGACATGAAAAACAGAGCTGGAAGGGCTATAAACAGCCTGACCCATGGTACCCCATGGTTGTTTTCTGGGCCTTAGGATGTTACCCGTTCATATAACACAGCTTCTGTCAGATTTTTTCACATTCTCAATTTATTGGTTAGTGTATTAGTTTATAGGGCTTATACTGTCCATTCTTGCCTTTCTAGGCATCTAAATACGCTGATCACAGGCTGAACATTGATATATTCATGGACATGTAACTTTTTCTCTTCACATTGTGCATATTCAACAACAAAACGTTTCACCAGGCACTGCATCCATTCCTTAGACTAAGAAAAATGTACCCATTAGGAATTATGCTTTTTTTTAAATGCTATAACCTGCCATAGAACAAATGCACTTGAATTATTGCATCTTGACATACTAGGCACAATTAAAGAAATTGATCATGATTCATAAAAAGATTAAGAGAGGTAAGCCATGCCAGGAAAACTGAACACCTGCATCCATTTTTCAATCGATGGAAGATTCTTGCCCCTTTCTAATCCAAAGGAATCTAGTCTGGATCATTTACCAAAAATCAATTTTAATTATAACCTAGGACGGATTTTCTTCTTTGTGGATCTGCATAAAAGTGTTATACCTGTGCAGTGTAAGATATGCTGTTAACAAATCCAGTCAAGTTTACTTGCTTAGTTGGGGCAGTTTTCACTTACATGTCAAGGAGTGAAATAATATAATGCTCAAACAAAAAAAAAATCACTCAATTCTTTCTGTTTTTACCTCTAGACTGCTTGAAATGTTCATAAATGAACAATTCTGATATGAACCTTGCATGTTCTTACACCATTGCTCATGACTTTGGTTCCATTTATTGTTAATAACTATTTTCTACTCCCCTATTCCTGTTCAAACAGTCTCTCTTTACATGTGAGAGCACCCCAAAGATTGTGATAACTTCAACCCTTTAGGTCTGGACAGACTTATTATGCCCATTGAGTCAAACCCTGGTTACCAAAAAAACGTCCTAAATTGCCAATATGAATAAAAATTACAATGTAAAACAATAGAATGATTGTCGGAGCAACTATGCATTTATGAATTGAAGTATGCATCTCAAGAGCATTTTCCTTTTCAGTAAGACTACTTTAGACATCCTAAACAATTCATATGCAAGGATTCAGCAAAAAATCTTACACAAATATTCATGTAAGCAAAAACACATCCAAACATATATATACTGGTATACCTGACCCATTAGGCCAAGATATTTTGTTGCTGTATATATAGGTCAACTATAAAAGCCTATCTTGTGTCTGACATATGGAGAACTCACTCTCTGCAGGAGGTGATGGACCTTGTCAACAGGAAGAACCAAGGAGCTTTTCTTTTTCCCCTTTTCCAATGCATCCTTGGCATCTCTAATGGCCCATCTACAAAAGCATACAGCAAAACTTGTTCTAGACCTGCTATAAGCAAGAAGTGTAGGAAAGGCCTGCTGAAGGTCTAATTCAATATTCCAAATGAAAACTTACTTATCAAGGGGGTTTGGGAAGTTATGCTGCACCCGTTCCTCTATGTCTGCAACAGTATGAGGAGAAGGAGCAGCACACAAAATCTCTAGCAGTTGTAGGATAAGACCTTCAACATGTGCCAATGCATGTGGAGTTGCTGTCAGAAGTGGATGGACTTGTTCCAAGACCTAAATGGCCACAAAAAAGCCATGATGCATAATGAATGCCAATAATTGCCTTTAAGTAAATAAGTACCCATACAGCTAAATATTTATATACCTTCTGCAGAGAAGAGGTGAAGATACCCCTGCATTTTGACAGAGTGTCGTTGTTGGAAGAGGAATCACAGTTGCTTGTGGCTGTAGGTAGCATATCTGTCTGATGTGATAAGATGAGGGAAGGACTTCACTATCACAACAATAAGCTCTGAGCCTGACTGAGATCAGACTTCATATCATTTGAACTGTCAGAATCCAAGCATAAAATCAAACACTTTGCACTTGATCCCCAACCATGAGGCCAACCTCAAGGGAGCATTAGCCAAATCACTGAGCTGAAGACCTAAGGAAACAACTCAATATCAGGGCTACATCATTGTGCCACTAAGTTAAGTGGTTAGAAAATGAGATATTCTGTAGTATAGCATTAGATCATACTATATATTCTGCCCAATGTAATATAATAGATCTAGGGTCTGATGTTAAGCATTTCATCTATTCTAGCAAAAATTAGCCAAAACAGGTAAAAGAATATTGGGAGAAATAGTAAACCTCAAATGCCACTCACAAGCAAGTATGGTAAGTTGAAATTACATGTACATATGAAACCAATATTACCAGTTTTACACCTCATAAACAAACTCTACCACACAGTGGTGAGGGAGTGTAATATCTGTCAGGGAGACAAACACAAAGTAAGTAAGAAAATAACTGACATACCTTCCTCAGCTGCACCCTTCAGGCACATTTTCTATTTCTCAGTAATAAAGACCCAAAATCTGTTCAGAATACCTCTACTTATCAAACAGAAGGGCCCTATCTCACCCTTCCACAAGGCTGGCAAGAGAGAAACCTCTCCCCCTCCCTTATAATCAGAATTCTCATCCTTAAACCCCAATTGCTACCATCCCTACCAAATGAAAATATATATTTGTTCGTTTGCACTCCATATCTCCATTCTTCTATCCTCTTGAATTACTTCACTCCATAACTCTTTGAGCTTTGCTTCCCATACTGGAATGAGAGTCATCAATATATCATATAACATCAATTAACATAAGATCCCAGGCCTCACAGATAATAGCTAGTTGCTTCCCCATTGGCCAATACACTGAATGACTTTTTTAAGTTAATCCTAGGACTGAATAATTTCATTCCTGCTCAAGATGACATTAGAGCTGTTTCAAAAAGGGAAGTCTAATTCTTTCAGTAGAGACTAATGCCCAAGCTGTGTTTACAGTGGTTACAGTCACATAGGGATTATGGTTTCAATGCTACAATCACCCTACTTCCATTTAACAAGCCTACCACATTTAATCTAGATCATTTTTTTACTTGTTCTATGGGTAGCAGCCTTCCTTCTCATGCCGTAGAAATTGGCAAGCGATGGGATAGGGCTTGGCGAAGCTTACACAAACCTACAGATAGGCCTAGGCCAAAGACTTGCATGAAACTAAAGTAAAACCACTGCATACTGGCTATTGGGTCACAGCCAAACAATCAAGTGCTTGTGTGAGGGGTGCGAATCATTCCTCATGATGTTGATCTGCTCGAAATTCAATCCTCATCATAAACGACTGACACATAGGCCTATTAAGAAGTTTGCCTTCCTCCAACCATCAGTTGGATCGCCACAGTGCATGACGAAGAAGTGCAGTTCCCAAAACGCAAGAACATCGACCTAGGCCTGAGGTTTATCCCAACTTTGACCTAGAAATAACAGACCTATGCATCCATAAGGCTAGGCCAAGGTCTATCATACGCAATGCCGACGTTAGGACAATTCTCCAGATCTTCAGTTAGGCCAAGGTCTGGAACCAAGGCTGCCATATGCAGTATGACTCCGAAGACTACAAAATTGGAAAAAAATACAACCAAATGAACCCATTCGCACTTTTCGAGGGCCCAATGGCCAGGAGTGGACCACTGAGCACAGCGGAGTGACTGAGGCGGCGGGCATGTTCGACTGACCTTCCAAGAATACACTCTCTGGCACCACACAATGACTTGCAAATGAATTTCTACCATTTTAACGCGAGATTAAAATGTATATCACTTCTTTCGTGGAAAGATACCCTTACCTCCTTCAATGCACCATAGAAGCAACACACATTGTTATGGTTAGTGCGCGTCTACTTGCAAATCACAAAAGTCATTGCTATAACCCTTTCTGTGGGTTGTGGTCTACCTTCCCATGTGCCACTGTATTGAGAGACTTACAGACGGCTGCCCACAAGGCAATTAGAAGAGTATTTTTTTTTGCTCGACGTACACTAAATGTTCACCCACCTATAGGCCAGTGGTTGCGATTATGCGAAAATTCACGCACCCACTGAGACATCATCCCAGACCGATGGAGTAATATATGGGAGATCTAGTAGCATTACGAGCCAGCTTCTGTCCCGACGTGCGCAGACGAGGCGGTGAGTCAGGCAATGATTTCTTAGCTCGCGTTTTCACGAGTCAATCCAATGACGTTCGACTATGACTAAGGTCACGGGCCCATGTCTCAGAACTATAAAATAGGAAGAGGACATATGTAGGATATGGTAGCTAAAGAACAGATTTCCCGATGGGATTCCAGATAGTGCTCTCAAAGAACTCAGTCAACGAATGAACTCCGAGAATTGCTTTTTCCGAGGCAATAGGGTATTTACGGATGCCGTCTCAATATTTAAGAAAGATTATAGAATTTCGGAGAATGTCAGGGAAAGCAACATAAGCAATGATATTTGGAAATTTTTTTCAGGAAAACTCATTCATGCGGAAATACCAACTACTACGATGGGAGGAGGAAACTCCTGTCGACATCGTACACTTAGGCCCAAATGCTGAAACTTCATTTGCGAGATAAAAGTGCTTCTTAGCTAAAAGGCTCTTTCCTCCATAGAAATCTATGGAATACTTAAAGACCGTTAGCCGAAGGTCTGGCCGTAGGCTTTCCTAAGGCATTTCATTCCTCAGGAGAGATTACGGACTAAGTTGCGGGTGCATGGGATCTAAATTACAGTGATGCACTAATAGGGCAGTGTTGCTAGAAGCGTGCTTCTCCATCGAGAGGAAGGACAGAGCGGGAGCCGAGAGAGACAGCTCTGAAGATAAACAAGAGAAAACCAATCGCTTGAGTTCTTTTAAGAGCAAGCTTAAAGTCCTTCGCATCAGCCATGATAATGATGAATGCGTTTGGCGACAATCGAGAAGAGATACTTAGGAATGCACATCGGTGATGGATTGAAATTCTCCCAGCACGCGCCGGCGACCCCATGCTAAATGTAGCAGGAATTTGGCTTCATCTCGCATTCCATTGCCAAGAAGGGCGAGCGCGTTATTTTTCCGTTGTGTGGGGCATCGGTAAGAATCCGTTCGGAGTACTGTGTGTTCTATTTTGGAAGCCCGTCGATAAATGATTCAATGGAGCTGGAGAGGGTTCAAGGGTGGGCTGCTGACGCGATCAACCCCCATTGCCAGGGACGTTCGAGTTCATAACAGATTTTGCAAATAATAACACATACTGAGGCTTTTCAACTAATGACTAATGCTTCATGTCTGAACAGGAAGAAATAAGAGCTGGGAAACTGGAGATCAGGAATCTACCCTCTGAAAATGGAGAAACGTGCAATCAGGACACAACACGTTTCCAAGAGGTGGAAATTTTTTTTCATCTAACGAAGGATGGGAGACAGTCGTTTCTTCCGTGTTTTCTGCAACGCGGGAAATGAGTCCTCGTTACCGGTGTTTACACGGGCAAAGAAACGAGAAGGGAAAAATCTGAATGATCTGACGAGCAGCCAGCGATCGATGGAATGGAACTCGATCCGACCGCATTTATCTGATTGCGCCGCTCGACTGGTTGACCTTGACCTTGGCTGGAGAAAATCTGTAAGGTGAGGATGGAGATGCTCCAAGGGGGTGGGGCAGACTGTCGATGAAGGGGGATTTAAATTCCTTGACGCCGACGAAACGCTGAAGAGCAAACATGTGAAATTGTGACCTATCCTTTTTGATCTAGCGCCACATTTGATAAGTACTCTTGAATTTCGTTATCTCGAATCTCCAGCTCCTCTTCGAGCAGCGGCGATGTTGATCCGCTTGTTTATAATTCCGACGACTTCCAGGGTTTCGATGGAGATAATTGGCCCATCGATATCGATAAACCTAGATGGTTCCCGTATTGCCCTCTGGCAGCGAACAGTATGTTGCTCCCCTTAATTCAATCAAAATTCCTGAGGCGACCCAAGAATCCTTTCCAATCAAGCACACCTCCGACAGAAGGGATCAATTTCCCGCTCCCCTCGCATGTCTGACGAAGCACGCTCGACAGGAGGGCGGGAACGACTGACGGATCCTTCAGCTCTCCTCCCCTTGGGCGAGGTCTCCCCCAGAGACATCTAGTGCGGGCAGAGTGAAGGTCGCTCCCCGCCTCTGTGTGGGTGGAGCATTTCAATCAGTCCCTTCATGCTTCCCTGTACCCCCAATCAGCGATAAAACGAACTTGATTAAATGAAATCAAACTGTTAGGAAAAAAAAGGAACTCAGCCGAGTTCGAATCTCTTATTCACTGTAATAGCTTCCAAGACGGTTCCATTCCCCTCGAGGAGTTGGGCCCAGCCCTCAGATTTTTTCTCTCATAAATTTGTCAGTCGGACAAGCTGAGCTTGACGTGACATGCGAATCTACTTTCACGTCTCCATTCTTCGTTCGGTCTCTGTTAAAACGCTTTTATTTGTGCCACGTTGCATCGTCGGTCCCGCGATGAAGATCGGAATTCGTAATTTCCAATTTCCTCCCGAATTCTCGTCCACGGACAGGTCTTTCAGGTTCTCATTTCTCACTTTCCTCCCAAGGGAAACATGGGGCTCGAAATGACTATCTCGTTTCCGGTTTCCTCCCGTCATTCGTGAAGACTTTCGCTTCCTGAGCCCAAGCTGTCATTCGTCGAGGAGTGATGAATGGAAGCAATGAAAGTGGAAAAAAAAAACTCGAGTAAAAAAAAAACCAAGTATATTACACAATTCGACGTCAGACGCATTCGACAAACAAAAACGTAGTGCACATCGTTCACGAAGAGAAATGAAACGACCACGAAGAATCGAAAACGTTAAAGAGCGGGTGGCGAAGGACTCGTGGAAGCCGGTATGCAGCACCGCACCTGGCCGAAGGGGCACTGGGGCGCGAAGGATAAGTCCATGAGGGCCGGGGGGCAGTCGTCTCGGGGGTGGCAGGGGCACCGAGGCGCCTCCACGCGCTGGGGGCAGCAATAGGCCTCGGTGGGCTGGCAGATCCAGTCCTGGAAGGGGGAGAGGGTTAGGGGGACGAGGCTTGTTTAGGGCTTCGCGCTTGTGCAA